AATCCACTAGGACTCCAAGATCCCTTTCCACTTCCGTGCCACCAAGCAGGTCATTTCCTAGGCAGTAGGTATGCTGGACATTTTTCCTCCCTAGGTGCAGCACTTTGCATTTGTCCTTGTTGAATTGCATTCTGTTGTTTTCTGCCCACTTGTCCAACCTGTCCAGGTCTGCTTATAGCTGTTCCCTGCCCTCTGGCGTGTCCACTTCTCCCCATATCTTTGTGTCATCCACAAACTTGGACAGAATACACTTCACTCCCTCATCCAAGTCGCTGATGAAGACATTGAAGAGTATCAGTCCAAGGACCGAGCCCTGCAGGACCCCACTGCCCACACCCTTCTAGGTTGAAACCACCCATCCACTACGACTCTCTGGGTGTAACCCTCTAGCCAATTCGTCACCCACTAGACTGTGAAGTCATCCAAGTCACAGCCTCTTAACTTGTTCACCAGTATCACACCTACCTACCCTGCCTCCCTTCACACCTGCCCCAAGTGAATACAGATCCCACATGGGACACACACCAGCATCTGCGTCAGGTCCTTGCAGCCCTCCCACCGCATTCAGTACCCCCTGCCCTGCAGGACATGGACAGTAATGCCACCTCCAGCTCTGCCCCTCACTCTGCAGGGGCTGCTCCTGCAACCCACCAACCCCTAGAGGGGAGAAACTCAGCCTGATTCCCCCATGCTTGGCTGGACAGCCTGTGCCCAATGCCCCACCCCAGGCCCAGCACACACCACCTGTCCTGACCCTAATACCTGCCCCAGCACTGCATGTTGCAGGGATGTTGGCAGAGGTGCTGGCAGTAGTGTGGAGAACCTGCTCTCCCAAGAGGGTAGACACCCTCCTGGAGCTGGCACCATGCAGACTGCCCCCTACTTCCCCTATCACCTCCAGGGTGCAGATGTGGCTGTGGTGGGTGACAGCAGGAACAGGGCTGATGGGGCTATCTTCATAGATGATTCATAGATGATGTTAGGGTCGGAAGGGACCTCAATAGATCATCGAGTCTGACCCCCAGGTGTCTTGGGGCACCAGTTCAGCCAGTTGCCAGTTGCTCACCCAGGGGTGCTCACCCTGTGATGCTGTCTTACCCAGCTCTGGGTCCTGCTGTGGGAAGAGGGCACAAGTGTGTGAGAGAAGCCAGTCAGGCAGCAGTGGGGTGGGTAGATCAGACCACCTCCTGCTCCCAAGTGTTAGCAACAACCTCTGGATTGTGGTGAATAATTAAGAAAAGGAAGGGGCTGGAAAGCAGAGGGATTTGCCATGGAAAGGGTTGTGGGCCTGGGTCAATTCCCATTGAACAGCTTGGGAGAGGGAACAGAGATCAACCACAGGGGTGGTGTGTCCAGTTGTGATCCTTTAGTAGCAGGGAATGCATGAGAGAGAATACAACAAAGGGGAGGAGGGCAGGGGAGCAGTATGCTCCCCATGGTGCACCGTTCTGCAGAGGCTGAAAAGCAAAACAGGCCAATATGGCTCCAGAGGTGGTAGAAGCAGCTCCTTGCAGACCCCACTGGGCACAGGCAGGTCTGGAAGACGGGTGATGTGGTGGTGAGGAAAGGCAAGGTCAGGGAGGAGGGTAGGGAATGCTTCCCCAGCCATAAATGCACTCCTCCCTGCAAATCTGGGGCTCATATACCAAAACCCCTCGACCAGGAAGAAGGAGAAAACTGGGAGGCAGCCAAGGATGTCCCCTAGTATCATCTGAAGTCAGCCATCTGGGAGAGGGCACCCTAGCGTGAAGACACTTCTTCCCCTGGGAATACTATTAGAGAATGATGGGGAATGCACAGGCGCCAAGGCTGATGCAAAGATCATCTCCTCCTCATCTCCTCCCCCCACATTGGAGCTGACTTCTGCCTCAGGTGTTTCCTCTAAGCCCTCTGCCCCCCAAAACCATATGTGGGGGTCAGCAACTGGGATCTGGACTTCTACTGTACCCTACAAGGGACAGAGCCTGGGGGAACTCTTTCTACAGGCCACCTGCATGAAGGTGCTTGTCTGAATGCACCACTGGTGGGTACTGAGCAGGCAGACTACACAAGGCCTTCATGCACTACTGGCAGAAATAGGGATGCTTCTGGGTGTGATGTGCTGATTCCAATACAGGTGGGAGAGATGGGTGAAGATTTTCCAATACTCAGAGCACCGATGTAGCTTCTCCCCTGTGTAGATGCACTGGTGTTCAGCACAGGCTGCAGGAGTAGGTGAAGCTCTGCCTACACTAAGAGCACTGATGTGCTTCTCCCCCATTTGCATGCGCTGGTGCTGGGCCAGGCTGGAGAGGATGCTAAAACTCTTCCCACACTATGGCTTCTCTCCTGTGTGGACATGCTGGTGCTGGGCCAGGTGGGAGGATTGGTTAAACTGCTTCCCACACAGAGAGCACTGATATGCCTTTTCCCCTGTGTGAATGCGCTGGTGCCGGACTAGGCTGGAGAGCACGCTGAAACTCTTCCCACACACACAGCACTGATATGGCTTCTCCCCTGTGTGGACGCGCTGGTGCCGGGCCAGCTTGGAGGAATAACTGAAGCTCTTCCCACACTCAGTGCACTGATATGGCTTATTTCCCATGTGCATGCACTTGTGCTTGGCCAGGGAGGAGGAATAACGGAAGCTCTTCCCACACTCAGAGCAATGATATATTTTCTCTCCTGTGTGAATGAGCTTGTGCTTGGCCAGGTAAGGGGAATAACGGAAGCTCTTCCCACACTCAGAGCACTGATATGGCTTCTCTCCTGTATGAATGTGCTGGTGGCTGGCCAGGGAGGAGGAATAACTGAAGCTCTTCCCACACTCATTGCACTGATATGGCTTCTCTCCCGTGTGAATGCGCTGGTGGTTGGCCAGGGAGGAGCAATAACTGAAGCTCTTCCCACACTTAGAGCACTGATATGGCTTCTCTCCTGTGTGGACGCGCTGGTGGCTGGCCAGGTGGGAGGAAAAACTGTAGCTCTTCCCACACTCAGAGCACTGATATGGCTTCTCACCTGTGTGGACGCGCTGGTGCTGGGCCAGGTGAGAGGAAGAACTGAAGCTCTTCCCACACTTAGAGCACTGATATGGCTTCTCCCCTGTGTGGACATGCTGGTGCAGGGCCAGGCTGGTGTATTGTTTGAAGCTTTTCCCACACTCAGAGCACTGATATGGCTTCTCCCCCATGTGGACAAGCTGGTGCCGGGTCAGGTCGGAGGAATAACTAAAGATCTTCCCACACTCAGAGCACTGATATGGCTTATCTGCCAAGTGAATGCGCTTGTGCTTGGCCAAGGAGGAAGAATAAGTGAAGCTCTTCCCACACTCAGAGCACTGATATGTTTTCTCTGCCATGTGAATATGCTTGTGCTTGGCCAGGGAGGAGGAATAAGTGAAGCTCTTCCCACACTCAGAGCACTGATATGTTTTCTCTGCCATGTGAATGTGCCTGTGCTTGGCCAGGGAGGAGGAATCACTGAAGTTCTTCCCACACACAGAGCACTGATATGGCTTCTCCCCTCTGTGGATGCGCTGGTGGCTGGCCAGGTGGGAGGAAGAACTGAAGCTCTTCCCACACTCAGAGCACTGATATGGCTTCTCCCCCATGTGAATGAGCTTGTGCTTGGCCAAGGAGGAGGAATAAGTGAAGCTCTTCCCACACTCAGAGCACTGATATGGCTTCTCCCCCATGTGAATGAGCTTGTGCTTGGCCAAGGAGGAGGAATAAGTGAAGCTCTTCCCACACTCAGAGCAATGATATGGCTTCTCCCCTGTGTGGATGCGCTGGTGCCGGGCCAAGGTGGAGGAGCAGGTGAAGCTCTTCCCACAGGCAGAGCACTGATGTTGCTTCTTCCCTGTGTGGATAATCTGGTGTTGGGCCAGCTTGGAAGAGGAGATGAAGCTCTTCCCACACACAGAGCAATGATGACGCTTCTCCTGTGTCTGCACGCACCTGTGCCTGGCCAGGCTGGAGGGCTGCCTGAAGCTCTTCCCACACTTCGTGCAGCAGTGTGGCTGCTGCCTCCTCCGCACACACCAGTGCTGGGACAGGCCTTGCCAACTGATGAAGTTCTTCCTACACTCATTGCAGTGGTGCAACTTCCTCCCCAAGTGCATGCGCCGGTGCTGAACCAGGGAGAAGAAATGGGTGAAGGTCTTACCACATGTGACGCAGCAGTACTGACGCTTCTTCCTGTGCACATCCTGGGTTTTGAGCAGCTCCAAGCTGCGCACAAAGCTCTTCCCCCTTTTGGTGAAGAGGTGGGGGAGCTGTCCAGAATTGATCTGGCAGTGAGAAGCCAGGGTTGAGAGGCAGGTGAAGCTCTTCCCACACGTGGCGTGTACATGGGCCTTCTCCCCAGTGTGCCTTATCTTGTGCAGAGCCAGGAGTGAGGGGCAGCTAAAACTTTTCCTGCACTGAGAGTAGTAGTGGCCTCTCCCCCTGGGCTTGGGAGTGAGCTCCTGCTTCCCTCTGAGGGCTCCCACACTGCCTTCGTTTGCATTCAGTC